TCACTCGTGCTAATTGGAGTAATAAAGTATTCATAAACTTGGTCAAACGAGCACAATGGGACCGCTACGGCATTGTAACTCCAGGGCATAAAATCATAATAATATCAAAGCGTCACTTGGTGGCGCTAATACTCCTGACATTGGAGCTATAATGCCTATTCAATCGACAGCTACTCCCGCGTGTCGATGTCTATTGTAATGAAGCTCACTTTCTTCCTACTCGTGGTACAGGTGCACTCGATTCGACTGCGGTTGATTCTACTATTTTTTTTCGTCCTTCCTACCTTCGCAGCTGAAAAGTTTTTATTGCCATTGGGTTTTATTGCATCGAACCGTGTCGAGTGTATTCAAACGTGCGACCTTGCACGGGTAGGGCAAAAATTAATGTTGCGGTGAAAATGGTTCTTACAGTTATTGTTCAATACGTACTTACCCGTATTTTTATTTCAACTTGATGATTTCGTAGAATGAGAATTCGAGCTTCACAACATACGCATTCCTTGCGTATCGTCTTGTAATTATTATGAAAAAAGTCTAAATCTACAATAAATAGCGTTGGAAGGTTCAGGGATGACGTGCCATAAATGTGCATAGGTGATGGGGGAGTAGCATTATTCAATGTTCGTAAACTGCGATCATGAAAAAATACAAGCCTGTGAGTTTTAACAGCCGAGTGTATAATATATTACAGGCTCAAGTGTACAGTGTAGGATAAGCACGTGAAGGTGCCACTGGGAGGTGAGCTAAACAATAAAAGTTACAAAAATCACTATATTGCTTCATCTCCATCCTTGCTCATCGCAAACGCAAAACTTTTTTTTTTTTTTTTTGTCATCTTCAATAGTAATGTCATGACAGCAGCACTCAAGGAACATAACGCATGTGCGAGTTGTACATGATACATAGTACGATGCAAATAACAGCCTCATCATCATCATCATCATCGGCATAGTCATTGTTTCACAATACATACAAACAAAAGCGTCCACGTGTGGTTTGCGTGTATACTCCGATGGACCGAGGGCATTTCCTCGTTCGGCCGGAAAATTTCACGAATGGCGTGGGCATCGGTGCCAAAAACACGCGCTTCCGTCCAATAAATGTCGGCAAAATGCGGTCGAGCGCTAGTGCGTCCGCTCGAGCAGTTCGTTGTTTTTGTACGGTGTATCGTGTACAGGCAAAATATACAGTCAAGTGTACTTACGTGGAGTTGTTGGAAACAGCAGTAAAGCAAAAAGTAAAACAAAAACTCCCTTACACGGCGACCACTTGAAATTACCCGAGAGGACGTGCTTGGAAGCTCTGCTTTGCCGTTTATACACGTGCTTTTATATTTATTTCCAATCTTTCACGGGATTAATGCGGTACGCTGTGGTCCAGATGAGATTTTTTTTTTATGCAGCGTTGGTTACGATGAAAAATTCGTTCACTAAATTGATTTTCACAATAAAATAGCCAAGTTACGTGTTAAAAACGATCGATATGAAAAAAAGAGAAAATTGAATTAGCTTGAATCCGACGATACACAATATTTAGACGAGTGAGTCAGATGCTGTATTGCCCCGACGTCAGGTGACTTTGAAAAGGTCGTGTATACACTCATACCATCGTGGTTCACACAACAGGTGCGATGAAAAAAAAGGGGGGGGGGGTTCTATGCAGACTTGGGAACGATCATTTTACGAATTTTTGAACACTTGAAAGACAATTTTTGTATTTTTTTCTGAATAAAATGTATCTTTTTTAGATGAAAATGAGTTTTATTTGTCACTGTAAGCAATACAGTGTCAAAAAAAAAAAAAAATTTTTTTCTCATTACATGAAAGTTATACATTTTAGATGTTTTAATTCGTAGCTGACTTTTAGCACAAATAATGTGTTTTAGCAAAGAAATTATATATTACAACGAAATTTCCAAAGTAGATATCCGTGCCCAAGTCTGGTTCTATGTATAAGTGCATTTAATCATTATCTTGATCTAATATACCGAGCATCGTTCCAAATTGCAGGCTTAATATCATAATGGAAGATATCGATTGGTATTTCGTACTGAATTTTTTTTCCTACTTGTATATTATAGTACCGGAGTCGTGATGTATAAATATAACAAAGAGTGTGCGGTTACAAACATCAGGACGCCTTGGGGACGATATAACGTACATATTAAAAAAGGGGGTGGCGTGTGGGGCAAGCAGTTGTTGCAAACAGACTGTGGTGGTTCACTATAAGCGAGCACGTGGCGTGTGGTATAACTATTGAATACAGCTAGCGTAGATTTATTCATAAAATTGTGAATAAGGGCAGTATAACAATAGCTGGTCAAAGCTGTATATAATAAAATGTAGTAATTATTAAATGGTAAAAAAAAAAAAGAGATGAACGGATGGACACGTCGAGAGCGTCAGTTTGTGCTTCTTCTTTTACTGATTCATAAATTTGCTAAATATTGACGAGTAATTCTAAGGTTTTTAATTTATCGGATCGCGAGCATGAGATGATTACAAAAAACAAAGCATTCTCAAGCTGTGCGTGAAGGCTTGGGTTGGGTAAACTTGTGTGATGGGAGTGGCTCGTGTACATTTCGGATGATACTTGTATGTATGTAGATATACATGTATATTTCGGCACTACGAAGCTACACCGAGTAGCAACTGCAAGCACCAACGAGAGCATCGCAGAGCTTGTTATGCGCACAATGATGGCCTGCGTCGATGAAAGCACAAGACACAAGCTAACAGATGCAGATCCTCTACCCCGATGTACGGTTGATTAAGTTTCCGCTTCCATTCACTACAGTGTACTCCACGCAGCGTCTATGCATTTGCGGGTATGAAAGTCAAATCGATTCGGCACGCGATGGGCCTATCCCATCAAAACGCTTTGATTGGAACGGCTGACTTTTCATTCGCGTAAGCTCCTTTGTCACGCAAAGTTGAATACTCTGTCTCTCTGTCTCTCCGATATCCCGAAAAGGCAACGGTATTAGCGTCGAGTTGATCAAAAAAATATCACCCTCGACCCCTCCCGACAACACTAAGCCGGAAGGTTTGATGAAAACATGATTTCCACGCGATATTTTCACCGTAGCGCAATGATTTTCATTCATATTTGACGGGAAGCGCGATTATCACGACAGTAGTAGATACACAGCCCGAAAAGCGATTCGTTAAAAACATCGTTTTCCCGCTCGGCGGATCCAAGATAGATAGAGAGAGAGAGCTGTAAAAGTTTTCATCGATACGGGGAGGGTCGGAGAAGTCGCTCGCCAACAAAAATCCATTCTCGACCGCGCATCCTATATATAACGTGGGGTAAACAAAAGGAAATACGATTCGTGCACTGTGCAGCAGTTTACCCATGCGCGTGGGTGTACACATGTATATACGCGCACACAACTGAAGGGGGCCATTGTCTTCCGCTTTATGGCTCTCTCCTCTCGTTCGAAAACTTCATCGTCGCTTTTCTCAGCGTTGGAAAAGGGGGGGTCCGGCCGGGAGTATCAAATAAAAATCTCTCCTGCGCGCGCTTTCGTCCCGGCGTTACTTTACTCTTTTTCTACGGAGATACCTTGCTGCTGATGTGTTACGTTACTGCCATTGTCGTCGTCACCCATCATTGTTCTCTCGCTCCTACCGAGACATTACTTTTTTTTTCCCCCTCGACTACAATATTTCTTCCGAGGATTTTTTTTTCTCTTTTTTTCACGGAATAAATTTGTTCCCTCGATCACAGCTTTTCCATCCAATATGAACCCAATCACGATGGCTCTTACGTAACGCGACGCGTGGCGTAACGTGAAGGCAAAATTTCATCCCCACTATGGAGTCAAATCACCGTGCGTGTTTACGTAAGCTGCTTGTACGTCGTTAGGGCTATTGTCAGTGTCCTTGGCGTTGGACCGTAATCTCGAGTACAGCAACGTCGTAAACTCACGTGAAACGGGCATACGTGCAAAGGAGCGGCGTATAGGGTTGAAATCGTGTCTTTGTGTTTGGCTGCAACAAACGATGCGCGAGTAAGCTATTAAGCCACGTTGTTTATAACATGATGCATATTGGTGCGTAACAGCTGCTTGTACATGTGACTAGCTTAACAACACAGCCAGAATTTTTTTTTTTTTTTTTGGAGAGAGGGGGATGGGATTCGAGGAAAAAAAGAGCCTAACACGCACTGAGCCGCTGATAGTACTCGTTGGTAGCCATCCGTTCGTTTATTTATTTTTTTTTTTTTCTTTCTTGCACTGTTTTCGACGATGCGCGTAGATGGAGCTTTGAGGGATGGACGATTTTACGCAAACTCCGTCAACCGTGACCACGAAACGGTAGAATACACACGTCCATCCGCCCAGTCGGCTCACGTGCACTTTCATCGGACAAAAAGGATTAGAGGTCACGTGTTTCAATTGTAGCCACTTTCAACTGCAAGAGTATACATGTGGGGCACAGATATCATGCGTGCAAAAGTAACGAGAGCACGTGAAAACACGTGACCGTACCAGTTCGCGGAAGAGCCATCATCGGTCGGGCACGAAATCCTTTTTATCCGCTTTGGGGAGGGATGAAAAGAAAAAAAAAAAAAAAAAAAAAAAAAAAAAAAAAAAAAAAAAAAAGAAACAGTTCACCTACGCAGGCTTGATGAACTCGTGTATATACAACATCAGACACACACGCGCGCGCACTTATTTCGTTTTTTGTTTGTTTTTTTTTTTTTTGGAGAAACGATTCGCGCGTGTGTGTATGTTACAAACAAAAATTGTCGCGTATAGGTGTGTGCACGCCATTCCCTCGCAAAAGGTAACAATGTAAGTACGAATGACTGTCGCCATCGCATACAAAAAATACCAAAGTAAACCAAGAGTAACAAAAGAAATGCTGGTGTCTATATTATAACGGTACGTAAAAAATATAACGAAAGCTTGCAGCGGTAAAATGCAGTGGGTAAAGGGGTATAAATATATACTGTATGCGGGTGTAGGTGTATGGCTTTTGATGAACGCCCACCGCTTTGACGTAGCTGACGGTCTCGGCGGTCGCCTCCGTGAGGGCCCGCCTCAGCCTCGACCTCCTCGCCTGGGACAGCGTCCTTGGACACAACAGCACCCCCTGACCGCTTGCCGCTCCCTGTTGCTGCTGCTGCTGCTGCTGCTGGTGATGGGACGGCGCCGGCGGCGTTGTCGCCGTTATCGACGTCGACTTGCACCACCATGGGTACTGCGTGCATGGCCATCCGTACGTGGTTTTTTTTTTTTTTTTTTTTTTTTTTTTTTTTTTTTTTTTTTTTTTCTCATTAGTTTGATTGTTGCTCTCTGTTTTTTCTAAGGACTTCTATCGTGCTCTTTTTCTTTTGCGTGACGAGGGTGTTAATGATACGTGGGATCGATCGAAAGTCTCGGTTCATCGCAGCTGGTCCCCCCGGGTCTCGCGTGTTTCATCCCGCGCGAGGAGAGTGGAGAGTGGTGAGGACCCAACCGCAAGTCGTCCGACCACGAGCAAACTCTTTCGTACCCGTGTAATCTCCCCCTTTTGTCCACGGAGACTCGGATGACCCCAAAGAGTGGCCGATTTTTATTTCCGGAGCGTTGCGATGAAACTTGCCTTTCGATCGATTATTCGCCGTACACGCATACGCGTATGTACACTTGATTGGTGAAATGATGTTCTTGTGTGTTTACTAATACGATGGACGCTCATCGGAGTTTTTCAGAATAAAAATTGTAGTATCCTTTTTCGTCTACTTTGGTAAAAAAAAAAAAAAAAAAAAAAAAAAAAGATATAAAATTGACAATGTATTTCTACGGAGAATTTCTGAATGCGGGACTAGGTGCTGTTGCTTTGAAACGTCGTATTCATGGAGAATACCTTACGGTGTATATGTAACGTAAAGGGCGTGGGAAGTATGGAAAAAAGTGAGTGCTCGGCTTCTTCTGGCTAACTTTATTTTTTTTTTTTTATGTTCTTTATCACCTGCTGTCTCTTTTCACGTGTTCCAGTGGGACATGTGTGTAGTTTCAAAAAAAAAAAAAAAATCGTATTAGTTCAAATTCAACAGATATCATTAATATACTGTTAAGGTCATTGAGGTATTCAATTTTTTTTTAGATCAGTGGCAAAAATTCATATCAAGTATATATACGTAAAAAATGTAATATTTAATATATAAAAAATACAATCGAGATACACATGCGTGCTTTACTTTTGAAAAATAATTGCGCTTACGAATAAATAATGTAATAAAAATTAAAAAAAATATTACTATAGTAGTAGTAAGAGTAATAAAAAAATACAGAGTAAAAGTTGGTAAGTATAGTAAATTTGTATGCGATTACAGTAGGTGCATCTTGAGAGTAAGAGATGTAATGCGTAGTAAACAAACTCTGAGGTAAAGTAGTAGAATAAGTAATTTATAAATAAGACAAAAGGGAAAGAAAAAAAATTGAAAAACAGGGCAAGTAGAGACGGATGAGGAATAAAAAGAAAAAAAAAAAAAAAAGAAAGAGTGACAAACAAGGCGTTCGCTTGAAGAAATCGGAAGGATGATCTGTCTTTCGCGCGCGTCGACGCCGAGATCGAGCCAAGAAGCAAAAGAGCGCACCGAAAAAAAAGGGAAAAACAAGACGCTGAGACGTCATTCTTCTCCCTTTTTTCCCCCGGGGCGTATCCCCGCGGGACTACACGCTCTTTCCTCCTTCTGTGCAAGCGAAGGGAGTTTCTCCGCATACGTACAACACTTGGACTGCCGAGCGGCAAAAGGAGAGCGACTTTTAATTATCCCGTTGAATGCATAATTCAGCTGTTAAAACGTCAGTTATCGCGAGAGGCGTTAATAACCCTCCCAGTACCTTTTTTTTCCTTCCTTTCGCGATCCTTTGTCAGTGGCTGATAAGAAATTTAAATGGAGGACCGACAGAGCTAATTCCAACTCGTATACGTTTGCGCTCAAATTTATTCTTCAACATCGACATATCAGCTAGAGACATTTATACAATCCAACAAAGAATATCGAGAGCAATAAATAGTTTATACCATTACAACATCGAAGCCGAGTTGTTTCGAGTGGATGCTCTTATGGCCACTAGCAAACGTCAAAGAGACGGACATAGTTGTCAACATCTAACCATCAAACAAGTTAAATTTACAAAGGAATGCATCCATCGAGATCGACATAGAATAAAACACAAACTACACGGGAAATGAAAAAACAAACAGCTTCACTGGCAAGCTGATTCCGCCACATTACTCGTCCCAGATGTTCTCTCCTCTTTTTTTTTTTTTTTTTTTTCCTCCGCTCGCCCCGATACGCACCCCGAGAAATAAGAGTCGAATAAAGAGGACGACGCCTGCTGCCGCCGACAGCTTCGACCCCGAAATCACAGGCTGATTTAAACGTCGCGCGTGCACGTATACAACCCTCCTGGCCGTTAAATCGAGCGTGCGCTTTTCTCTGCGCTGAATAGCTGCGATGATTTCGCTCGGCGAGCTTTTTTCCCTTTTGTAAAAAAAAAAAAAAAAAAAAAAAAAACAGATCGTACACCTGTGACGAGGAATCCAGAGCGTTTCGCGTGTATCGTATAGGTGCTTCGTGGACGTAAAATACACGGTAAACTTGTATCTTCGCTCGCCGAGAAATCGAAGGAGCCTTTTCGCGATAACTTTTCCAATTTGTCCCGAAATATGCGCACATCCGTACGCAAACACTCCCATCGATTGTACGTATATACAATGCAAGAAATGGAAAACGTAGAGTACTACGGAGCGCGAGTGCGTATGGGGGAAATGAAAAAAGAACGGCAATAAAGAAAAGGAAAGGGTGCACGTATGCAGAGCAGGTTATCGTCTGGAATTTTCTTCCACGGGTGCTTGATTGAGGGTTCAGGAAGGAGGTGCAAGGTGAGGGGCCGAAAGGGGTGCTCGTTTAAATATATACGTTGCACAACCGCTTGTGACACTTCAGCGTCGCGATTATTAAAGTTGGAGCGATGTGACCAAGAACGAAGCTTGCAAGTTTGATTCGCGAGGCAACAGCATTTTATTTTTTGTTTGCGTGATCAGTAGTACCCAAATTTTTTCGAAACGCTCCATTCCCTACTTTGAAATCTTTCCGACCAATCAATAGTTTTATCTTTCATCGCAAAGCAGACTCGCACGTTCCGTGAAAACTTGTATCTTAGGAGCAAAAGCTCGACTATCGCCGTTCGTCTTTTTCGGAAAGCTCTCGACTACGGGCTGTTGTTTTCCATCATAAAAGCTGAGCTTGCAAGCTCCCGCAACAACAACAAAAAGTGGAAGGCGCCACGAGGTCTGTACACGCGAGCGCGCCATCGTCGAGTGAGCAGCATCACGAGATACACACTTATCGGCGTGCAACAAGAGCCGCGTGCGCAGAGAGAGCTGCACCACGCACTCTTTTTTCCTCTTGCTGTTTTACTACAAAGTAGTGGTATATCCTCGTCCACGTATACACAAACAGGAAGGAGTAAGGATTACAGACAGACCGACGCACGTGCGCGCGTAGGTCAAGTAGTATAGCATGGTTTTAGTCAGACGGCAGGGGTATTCCGGGATGGATACAAATTAAAGAAAAGCGACAGTTTGTATAAGCAGTTGCAGCAAGCACAGCGGTAGTAGCAGTAGTGGAGACAGAGGAGGGCGGGAAAACTTAAAACACAGCTTGCAGAGAGCTTGCGAATAGTGTGGTAGTAGTGTGTCTGAGTGAGTGTCCCATGTGGGGGTGACAGTTACATTATATACATACGGATACATGGAAAAAAAAAAAAAAAAAAAAAGATAAAGAAAAAGAGGGGGTGGAGGAAGCGTCCTTACTTGCTCGGATAAGTATATCCACAAAGTTTTTTCGTTGAAGCGCAGCGAGTCGGCCGCGATACCGGCAATGCCGTCGCCGGGTTCGCGAAACTGTCGCAACGAGGCGCCGCTCGGGCTCGGGCCGCCGTGGAAGCCTCGGCCGTCCGTGTGCAGGTGGCAGCCCGAGCAGCAGCAGCAGCAGCTCGAGGGAGCGTGCAGCCCACCACCGCGGCCACCGTCGCCACTCGCCGACTCTGGCTGGGAGCTCTGGCGTATCATGCGAGCCGTAGGCGACGAAGTTACCAGCACCGCCGGTGGTAGGTGACCCGAGCCACCGGGACCCCCGTAGCTCCCGATCGCGTGGGAGGACAAGCTCGAGGCCGTCTGCTGGCATGGGCAACAGTGGTGCTGGCTCCGGACGCTCTCCCTGGAACAGGTCGAGCACACGCTACCAAGGCTTTAGTGGTTAATACGTTCTCTCGGCCCTTTTTTTTTTTTTTTTTTTTTTTTTTTTTTTTTTTTCGTGCGAATGGTGCGCTTTTTCAACCAGGGCAAAAAGTTTGATCTCTCCTTGATTGTCGGTTTAGGTGGTGGGAGAAATTTTGATTCAAAGGATTTTCAAGAGCATTCGTGTGCCTTTTATCAATTAATCGAGTGGCTTACATCTGATGAAACCTCTTCCAATGTAAATCATCGCTTAGAGAAAAGAGAATCTCACGCTATTGAGTTTACGAAAATTCTGGTTTTATGTTGGAAACTAATTTGCAAATTGATGTTTCACTCGTGTGAACTCATTGGGAGTACAGCGTTTTTTTATGTCTTATACATGTTTCTCTAGGTAGTCGAATAAAACCTCCAGAAAAAATAACTTGAAGCTTGATTATCATCATTTAAATTGTAATCAAACTTTTTGCTGTGGTAAAAACACAGAAATTGTGCTGTATACATTTAGTCCTGTGGTTCTATTTGTTTATTTATTTTTTTTTTTTTATACCCTCGCGCTCGTAAAAGTTCGCTACACATACAAGTTTTTTTCATTGTGTTCGTGAAAAGCTTGTCCACCATGTGGTGAAGTGTACGTACAACTTGTAGATTTTTTTTCAACTGCATTCAATCATGACTTCGAGATTCCGAGAACCCAATAAATTTTTTACTTTCACAGTAATGATTGTATTCAATCGAGCAAGAGAAGAATCATTCAACCAGATATACTCGTAATGTGGAGTAGAAATATGTAGTACGAGAAGAAAAAAAAGCAGTTGTGATATTCAAAAGGACTGAAATAAAACACTTGTGTATTCAACCAATGCAATCAAACAAGATTAATTTTTCATCTTGGATTGATCGCGATACAATTTTTATTTTTATTTCCAAGTGAAAAAACAATAGCGATTGAAATTCTTTTCCCCGTCGCTATTTTTATGCACCAATCAAGATAAAACTCTGTAAACATCGAGATTATCAAAAACACAAAAGCGAGACCTCCTCGAAGCAGGAGTCACTCGGTGGTCCCTACTAATGCAGCCATCGAGCTCCCCATTTGGGCTCAATTAAAACAACCCCCCCCCCACTAAAAGTCACGTGTGCGGTAACAAGTGTCCCTACACGCTCATCTTGACCCCATTCTCGTGACTCGGAGCCCATACTCGTGCACCTCCTATAGTATAATTGAACGAAATTCGACGTACGTACGACAGAGAGCACGCGGCCGATGCTTAGGCACGTCGCGTCGGGTCGTCGTGCAACGAGGCACTATCGATCTTCTCGGTATGTTTTTTTAATTCGGATCGGCTAATGCATGTCATCCCATGAATGGAGTCACTCACGTGGAGAGCGACTGCGATATACCCCTTCGCGTTGAATTATTTATCGGACTCGCGAGAGGGAAGGGTAATAATTTAGGCGAACTCTTTTTTTTTTTTTTTCCGCAATGAGACCGAAGAAATCGATCTGCGTGCGCGAGGAAACTTTTGGTTCTCGTGGATTTTCGAAAATTGCGCCAACGGAGCTGTATTGGAATAATATGCACGCTCGCATCCTGTGGACGTCAAAACACCGGATGTGGTATCTTATAGATATCGATCAGTAGTAAGAGTCAATTTAGGTCAGACGCGCGTTACTGTCACACCTTATCTATTGCATTACTCATTCACGCGACGGAGGCTCGGAAGCGAAAACAGCATTTCACGCTCCACAAAATATATATTTGTTTACTCGGTGAAAAAGTAAAATTAATAATTCAGAGGCCAAACTGAATCACTCGGGCTAAATGAGACATGGGAGGGGATCGATTGTCGTTCACGCCACTCGACGGATTGAAACGTCGTCTGTCTCGGAAATGAAACAGGATGTGAGGGGAAGGAAAAAAAAAAAAAAAAAGAAAGGGTACTTCCACGCCCGAGAGAGTAATAGCCGAGGGAAACGTGCGAGGCGCTTAAACGAGACCCCCCCCCCCTACCGTGCGGAAATCTCCATAACTCTAGCCGGCCTCTTTCCTTCTTCAGTGGCGCGCTATTGACACGATTTTCGCAATTGATCGACCAACCTCAGGCTTTCGTGCGCGTGATTGTTTCTCTTTGGTGAATTATTACTCCGTTCGTTAATAAACTACTTGCTCGGATAAGTATATCCACAAAGTTTTTTTTTTAATTTTATTTTATTTTATTTTTTTCAATGCAAAGGGAAAAAACCAGGTGAATAATTTATCAACGATAACGAAACGCAATTAAACCGTCGATAATGTATTTACGAGGTGTTTTAAGGATGTAAATTTTTAATTGAGACTTGGTATATATATATATATCGTGATGAATAACTCTGTGATTCGTGATGGCTTTCACGTAAGCGATCCACGCGAAGCTCGATATAGAGACAAAGATTGCGATAGACAGTGCGCGAGGTAATTCAGGCTCGTGGCTTGGATACGAATAAGGCGCCGGGCTGTTGTATGCGCGTGTATACACGTGATTAGATATTCATGACGAGATTAGCGAGCTTTTACGCTTTTTTCCTCTTTTTTTTTTTTTTTTTTTTTTTTTTTTTTTTTTTTTTTTTGTTTTACTCATTACAGGTGTGCCGCGCACGTAAAAAAATAGCCACCGAACGAGTTTCGATTTTAATATTAACGGAGGTGGAAATGAATCAAAAGTCATGGTGGATCGATCCTAAATCGAAAAAAAAAAAAAAAAAAAAAAAACAGCCTTTCGGCAGACCTTGCATTGGAAAACCGATCGATCAAAGTGTACACACGATAAAACACACGACGAAACAAAAAGGTGTCGTGTCCCAGAAAAGCGATGGAGGTGGTACTGCCGACTCACGCGTGTGCGAACGAGAGGGAGAAAAAAAAAACATCCGCGTCGACGGGTCATTATTCAGGCGATGGGAAAGCGAACGCACGCGAGCCTGCACGCTCGGCTGACCATACACGGAGCTATTCTACTGTCAGAGTCCATTTTGTAATTTTTTCATTTTTGGTTTTAATTTTTTTTTGTTTTTCATCACGGGCATTTATGCTTAAGATGGAACTTGTGGTTTTATTGCAGTATCAATACGGTTATACTTATGAAAAGGCTCGGATGACTCCGCACGAGGCGATTCATCAATGCCAGCCTCAAATCACAGCCTCCAACGACGACCAGAAAGGAAAGCCTTTCATCACTCATTCGGACCCCGCATACGTAAGATCGCCCGCCTCCCATCACCACATGGTTATGCCTTTACACTTTAACTTCCCAACACCCTTCGATCATCGATCACATGCAACTGCACCATCATCCATCCCAACTACTTTTTTTCCATTTTACTCTCCCTCCTGTTCGCGAACCACCTGTACAAGTGCATTAAAAAAAAAAAAAAAAAAAAAAAAAAAAAAAAAAAAAGTGAGCACAAAACGGAATTTACATTAAGGACAAACGCATCCGTTTCCAAAGCGGGAGCTATGTGGCAATGACTGTCTTTTCAGCAGTGGGCGAAGATCGATGGTCGAGTGATTTCATTTAACCGACAAAGACGTCAACGACACACGCGATATGTTCCGTAGAAATGAGAGAGAAGAATCTAGCCTCTTTGGGTGGACGTTAATTATGCAAATGCGCGTATTTGTATAAATTTAAATGCGGACAGGTACAGGTGATTTAATGTATCATCGATGGTGGTTGACACCAAAAGCAAAGGCAAATCGCAGTATCGATCGATTTTTTTTTTTTTTTTTGAGAGGAGGATAAAAATATAATCACTAACGAAGCAACATGTGGAAACTACAGCTCAGCCCGAGTTTCATTTTTTCAATAATTCGTAGTTTGTAACAAAGTTCACTTCTCCAACGTTTTTATATGCTCGAGTCTGTCTCTGATACAGTGTCTTTCATTTGCAGTGCGTTTAACTCGTGCAAAAACATAAATGTTTTTCCCCACATTTGCATAACTTGCACGCAACAACGTTCAACGTATAAACAAATGGGACAACAGCAAGGAGGAGGAAAAAGAAAATAAAAAAAACCCTTACCTGGACACGCTTCTGGCGAGGTAGAGGGCGGACGAGGGCGCCAGCGAGTCCCTCCGGTCGCACCTGCACCTGTGCAAGTGACTCTGCCTGGGCCTGTAGTGGCTCGACTGGTAAAACGACGGGGTAACCTGCTGGTGGTGCTGTATCTGCTGCTGGAGCTGGTGTTGCTCATCGAGCCGGCACTGTAGCTCGATGTCGGGGACGGACCTCGCAGCCCCCGTGTCCTCGACCCCGGTGCCGCTCTCCTCGCTGCCGCCCAACCCCGAGACGGACAGCTGGGGCGAGGCGAGCAGGTACGTCGCCCGGTCTTGCCTCTGGAGCACCGGCTTTGAGGACGCCGTCGACGAGGAGGCTTGCCCGGCCGCCCCATTGTTCGTGGATGAGCCTGCGTTGCTGCTGCCGCCGTGGACGACGACGGCCTGGGGCACGACGAGGGGCTGGACGTTCGGCCGGCTGAGCAGGGCCGCCGTCTCCTCGCTGCTGCTGCCGTACTCGCTGCCGGTCCAGCATTCCTGGATCTCGGCCTGCCCGTGGTCGTCGCCGTTCATCGCCCGGCCAGCCCCCTCGGCCCTCTCTCTCCTGCTCCTCGATCGACGAGCCGGCCCCTACGTCACCCGGGGCACGCTCGTCACATGGCTATGGGATCCTGAAATCATAAGTACGAAGACCATACAATGTTTTAACCCCCTGCATTGCCAGTGTCCTTTTTTTTGTCCCTTTTCCCCGACAGGGCGACCGATTTACATTTTTCAAGGGTAAAAGTTTCAATTTTAGCTCGGTCATCGGTGTACACAACTGGAACACCTGTGGTATTATTTTTTTTTACGACTGCTCCGTATACACCAATAAAGCCGGTGCATCGTCTTATACATACGTTATATTGCTTTGCGGTTTCAGCGCGTACACGGGGTCTCAGCGCAGGTGAGCGGTGTTACTTTAAGTTACTTGGAAATGCCGCTAGCTTATTTTATGACTTTTGAATAATGTACGTCCCAACCCCCATCCCTCGAGTCTTTTCTTTCCGTACGAAGAGTCATTGAAACGGAATGTCGAGTTTATTATCCATTTACGACTTTGTACATGTAGTTTCGTGAATGAATAAAACGGGCATTTCTAATCGGTTTGAAAATATTAACAAGAGCATGGCAATGCCGCGAATACAAGCGAAGGAAAAGCCCGTCAAGGCCAAGGTCTTGAATAAGGGGTGGTCATTGGAGTGCGCTTGGCGAGTTTTATTGGGGGAAATTGCTTTACTCTCTTCTCGAAAGGTCATTTGGATGAGTACCTATATATGGGCACACTTTTTGATTTCTCGGCCTAAATAAATATTAAGATAAGTGAACGTTGTCACCTCGGGTCATCCCTTCCAAAGGTCAACATTTTATTGGTGTGGTTAAAGATTTTTTTTCTACGTTGTTATTTTTAGTAAATGTCTTTTGACGGTTAAAGTTTCGATCCTCATTCGTATTTAAAGTACCGAAAGGAGGACACCCCTCGTAAAGCCGAAATCACTCGAACGTTAGTAAAAATCAACTTTTTGATTCAATAAGCAAGAAGCCGAACTATGTTGGACTCCTCCCTTCTCTAGGGATGAATGAAAAAAGCCCATCCATCTAGGCACTTGTCCCACAATAATAGGGATTTGGCGCTCCTCGCGTGATTTATTTCCAGGCCCATTTGGGCGTATGAAAAATCATCGACGAGGAAATACCAGAGAACGGAAAGGACTTCCGGGACGTAGCACCTCCTTAAAGCGTCAGATCTTGCGAAAGGAATGATACACGAAGCCTCCGTTAGGTTCATCAAACACTTTGCCGCGGCAAATGGGGTCAGGATCATCCGCGTTATCATCCCTACATCATATTTATTGAAAAAAAAAAAAAAAAAAATTGAATGGAGTAAGATACGCCTCATTGTCCACGATCACTACACGTCCTCTGATCATCTTGTACGTCGCGGATCGATTTCCATCCGCAATTCGCAATCGCCCTGACGACTCTCTCGCGTGACAATGAAAGCCCGTCCTCGCCCCACCACTTGTCCTCCGTCATCTCCCGAGGGACGGGAAAAGCGCGAAAGCAAACACCACGTCCAGGGTGTCTTGTACCACTGTACCCTCGAGCTCTCCGAGCCTGACCGGGTTTGCGCGAGCGTCTTGTTATACGTCTCCGGGAGACACGCCTCTCTCTCTCTCTCTCTCCCTGCGCACGTAATGTACACACATCAGCAGCCATACGTCTTCCGTGACACCCCGGCAATTCCTCCCGGGACATCTTCATCCCCCGGCCGTAATATATATTTATACGTGTGTACCCAGTGCTGGGTTATTTAGCCTTTGACACGTACTCGGCGTTTACACGGGAGTTTCTCCCGAACATGCTCTACTCTCTTGACTCTTTGAATCTACTGTACTGCATGGTAGACTTTATCCTCCGAAATGATATTTCTTCGATTTCGCAAAAGCCTTTGGAGTATGATTAAAATTCATACTCATTAAGAGGGCAGGAAGGGTGCTCGGTACAATCGTGGACGTTTAACTTTCTCGCACCCGTACTTAGTTTGTATACGGATAATGCGTAGGTGTATGTTTTATTTTTTTATTTTTTTTTTTTTTTTATCCACAGGTATAATCGTACACCAATCGTATTGTTATACATAGGTAGGGAAGTGTTTACACGCGGATACACGTGACTGACAGCAATTAGCACGCCAACTACCAGGACTTCTCTATTTTCATTTGCGACGAATCGATTAAGCGGAGGGTTAGCTGGAGTCAACGACCGCTCGCACGGGGATGGGTATATAAGTATACACGTTGTGTATTTCAAATGTGGGTTACGAGGTCCCGTTGGCAGTGAGCTTTTTCCAACTCCAATCAACGAAAGCAACCAAAAAGCGGAGCCAAAGCGATGAGTCGCATCGGCGTGTCGAAGCGCCTGGGGTCGATTGACAGCAGGCACGGATCCAAGCGCGCTAAATCAATCGGAGGGACGGCTATCTTCGCTTCCGCAACGTTTGCCTCGCGTACCGATCAATCGATACCAGGTAGGCGCGCACGAGCGGCCTGGCTAAACAACCCGTTTCCAATATCCCGATTTACAAAGGACCAATGGGAGAAAAAAAAAAGGTAACTTTGCGGCAACGGCTATATCGAAATGCAAACAGAGCTTGGACGGATGACGGATCGGGGAGAAGAAACGAGGGCGCGCCAGAAGCTGACGCGGTATAATGCAATCAGAAGATGGTGCGCCAAAGTCTTATTCTTTTCCGTCTAGTAGCTGGTGCTTCCTCTTCTCTTTTATTTTCACCTTGAAAGCGAGCGACCAAGTGCCCCCGGGGGGGGGCCGTGGTGCATGTCGGACGGGTGTCGGGCCAACGTGGAAAGGCCAACTCTGCAGCGGCGGGGCGGCCTCGAGGCTTCGCGTTATACTTTTTATCTTCTTATCTCGTGTGCACATGTATACTGTACCGTCTATTGTACGTGTGGGCGTCGCTTTTGAAAAAAAGCGCTGGTTCGCGCGGCTCATTAGCTCCGCGGCGTCGTTGACTCTTTCTTTGTGTGCAGTTGTTTGCCTCGCTCGTTTCGGACGCCTGGGATCTCTATGTGTGGCAGAGTTTTTTTTTTTTTTTTTTTTTTTGCACCCTTCCTCTCTTTTTTGCTTTGAACGCTTGCGTGAGTCTATTGTACGGGGCACATTTGCGTTGGGCAAGTGTTTTTTTTTTTTTTTTTTTTTTTTACATATACAAGTACTATTGCCCATGTGTAGGTGAGGCGAGGTGTGCTAATTGAAAATTTTGACTCTCTATGAGCAGAGTTTTACTTTTTGTGTTTGCTTTGCGCGTGTGTAAAACAAGAGATTTTTGCTTTAAAAAATGCTTTACACGCAGATTTACGTGTACGAAGCAATTGAGCAAAGTACATACTTTGCACGTTAATTTGCAACACGTTTTTGTCACTAGGTGCGCGAAGCTAAACTTTTCGTGCTTGTAGGCATACATATACCGTGTGAAGAGCTTCGTTGTAGCATTTCGTGCAAAATACTCCATATGTTTGGATAGTGATGTACAAAAAGGATACGAACATCTCAATGTACTATTTTATGATCAAGATCGAAATACCGTTTTCGTGCCTCTAGTACTAACAACAACAAATTTGAATTTAAAATTTTACCCAGTAAAAATGTACTAAGTAAAGAAAATTCGTCATTATATCAATTTTTCAAATTATTTGTTTGAAATTTATTGGTCGCGCATAGATCGACAGAGGTTTGATTGCCAAATCAGTAGAACAAGTCCTCTTTAGTCAGACATGGGCATAATTGATCTTAAGCCAACAAAACCAACAAGAGCTAATGAATCTCTAAAACGTATGTTAACTGCACACCTAGTCTTCCCTACTCACGCGAGTCCAGAGACTATATGACATACAAAACCAACCGAAAGATGATGTTCGAATTTCTGTTTTCACGTGTCTAGGTTACACTGAAAAGTAGGTACTTGACCTTCCCAACACTAGAGCGTCGCAGTTAATTCAAGGAACAGAGAGCAGAAGGGAACACCTGCAGCGCTCATTATTTGGTTTGTCAGCTCTCGCACACGCGCTGTTGTCCTAGAAATAACGAGGATACACCCGGAGAACTTTACCACGGCGTTTTAATGAATCCTCTTTTGCTTGATTCCACAAAACGCAGTGCGGAACTTTGGTCTCTATCACTACGTGTGACAACTGAGCAGTAAAAAAACGACGAGGGGAAGAAAAAAAGAAAATTTTTGACGCAAGATTTCGTCACACACGCGAGTGTAAAAAAGAGAGGGCGAGCGAAACAGAGAGACAACAGTGCTACTCTTCCTTGCACTTGGGGAGGGTGTATGCACGAGCACAAAGAAGCTCGAGCGTCGAAAGTCTCTTGACGAAAATAGTAAGCGCCCTACTATCGCTGCCGCTACTGCTTATCCTACTGCTGTTTTCTATCTGTATAGCATGTACATATACATTTGCTATCGCTGAGGGAAAGAGGCGAAAGTCGTCATCGGAGCTTTATTTTTTCATTTTTTTATTTTTTTTTATTCGCTGAAATAACAGGGATGAGCTGGTTCGTAGGCGTTTGACGCTTACGACGAATTGACGGATACTTTTTTCTTTTTTCTTTTTTTTTGGCTAAAATAATCACTATGTCGAATTTTGTATCGATGAATGGGTACTTTTCCTTAAAAATAAGAGTAAAAAGTTTCTTAAACGAGTATAATATGTTACTCGTGTGGAATAAATCACACAGATTTATCCTCGCGAATTCCCAGGAACGTAAATTTCTCACGCGCATTCTAGCTCGTGCCTCATAATATAATGCGAGAACGCAAAAACAGCGCGAAATCATAAATCAGTCAATAGCTTTTTATTTTTTTGGTTCTCGTGTTTATGAGAACCGTAAAAATTAAACTCGATGACGTACGGTGAAGCACAGCGGCGGAGGGTGATAAAGTTATCATCGTCTGTACATAATATACTTTAGAAAAAACTCACTCAATAAGCGAGTCATGGATTTTCCTATTGTACTTTGTCACTGGATTGCCCAACCATTTGTACGAAATTTCACCTATATTATCATTGATGCCGCAACGTAAATAATTGTTATCATCGGACGAGGT